AACTCGACACCAAGTACAGCATAGAGGTTTTAATTAAAACCTCTTTTAGAAGGTAATAAAGGTTACATTTAGTTATCAATTTTTAAGAATTGAAATTTAATTTAAAAGATATTATCTTTAAATATGTATATTTATTTATAAAAAAAGTACAAGGTAACCTTGTACTTTTTTTTTATTGGTCCATCTTGTAATATTGTAAAATGTAAAATGCAAACTTGTAATATTGTAAAATGCAATTATAAAATATTGTTTTTATTAAAATAACTTCGCTCTCACATTCGTTGAACGAATGCGTATTTCGTATGTTTTTATTATATTTATTTACTTATTTATTTATTCTTTATTGCCTAACTAAGGACAAATGGCGGACTTAATGCCATAGAGGCATTCTCTCCCAGTCAACCAGTTAGATTGTACAGAACAGTAGTAGGCGGTAAAGATTAAAAACGGTACATAAAATCGTATCTATAAGCATTGGCATATATACATACAATACATATACGCATATATACATAATATTAATATACATACATTATATATACATATACATTATAAGATATAACGAGTACTGAAATGGTGGTGTCTGATTATGAAATGGAAGTAGACAGGAAATAGTGGTTACGAGCTGCAGACTTAAATGCGAGTTTGTTTGGGGCATTACGAACTTCAAATGGCAATGCATTCCATAGTCGGATGGCAGTCAGAGTGAAAGAGCTGGATACGTAGCTGGAATGGTGAGTAGGTGTTTGAAGGATCAGACTACCACTGGAGCGAAGGTTTTTCTGGTGGGAGGCCCCGAGGAAGTGAAACCTAGATTTCAAATACTCAGGAGTATGTGGATCGAAAAGAATGTTGAAGAGGGTACATACGATATTATATATTTCTTAGTAAATATATAAAATAAAAATTCTTACTTTTATTTAATATTATTATGAAGAACCTAGAGTTTCTATAGGGCATCGGCGTCGTTTAGAACTAGTAATAAAGGTAATTACTTTGTTTTTTGTACACTTTGTAACTCAGATTAGAAGTAATGGGAAGAATGATCTAAAATTATAAGAACATCTGATCTATGGTAAGATTATATGTATTTTGTTTTATTTGTTTAAGAAGTAATAAAATAAAAAATATATGCAATACGAAGTTAAGTACTTCGCATTTGTTCGACGATTGTGAGAACGAAGTACTTTAGACAGCACACAACATTTTTTGGGTGATTTCCCGAGTAGTTCGTGTGACTCATAAATATTGAGTTTTAATTGAGTATGTTGGTTGTTAAATTAATATTTCTAAATATAGTAAAGTACTTAAATATAGTTTCAATTTTACTATTGCTTAATGCGATATGATATTGGAACTCATATCGGTTTTCAGATACGTTTTGATATATCGAACTGTTGCCTACGGTAGCATGAAGACGTGTATCCGGAGCAGTGTAAAATTGTGGTTGCATCTAAAAGTTTTATTGCAATATTGAACCTCTATGCACAGAACACAGCATAGGTTGGAGGTTCAAAGTAATAAAACCTACTTTAGAAAGTAATAAAGGTTTTATTTAAATTAGTCTTGCTGTAACTTACCATAAACCAATCCATAGACCCTCCACGCGGGCTCAATACGGCTTGATAGAACCACAACCAACGACTTCATAAGAAGCTCGAATAATAAATGTTTGATCACCCATCAAGTGACTAACCATGACGAAAGTTGCCTTCGTGAATTAAACCGCTATAAATGAGACAATCTACACATCAATGAATCAAACAAAAATAATCTATTCAATTATAACAAGAATTATTCAATAAAATTTTAATACAAATGAGAATAAACTCGTAGACTGAAATAAGGTTTATAAAAAAAATTAATTAAAATTTAAGCGGCGCCGGCCTTTAGGGCAGGGCTGACAAATTGCCACATAATTCAATTTACAAGCCGAGACCACGTCCGAGTATATACTTACAGAAATATATTCCTACATACCTATCTCATCTAAATACTTTTATTTCTTACTAGCTGTTTTTCCACGACATCGCCTGCGTAAATTATAGCATGTGTCGCTGGGAAACTATACGAAAAATCTTTCACCCGCAAGAGTAGGTGTTAAAATTAGAAACTAAAGTAATTATTAAAACCCCATTAAAAATAATATAATACTTGTAAGGTTTTATAAAAAGAAATGTTTAATTGTCTGTTTGTTTGCTAATGTTTGCGTTATAGATTCGATAAGGTCTGTTCATCATTCATCATCTTATAATATGGTTGAACTGGGAAACTATACGAAAAATCTTTCACCCGCAAGAGTAGGTGTTAAAATTAGAAACTAAATTAATTATTAAAACCACATTAAAAATAATATAATACTTATAGGTTTTATAAAAAGAAATGTTTAATTGTCTGTTTGTTTGCTAATGTTTGCGTTATAGATTCGATAAGGTCTGTTCATCATTCATCATCTTATAATGCTGAATTAACTAAAACCTTTATATACCTTTACTACCTTTTGGAATAAGTTTTATTTAAGTGAACCTCTATAATTTGACAGCGACAGACGTTCGGGGCTATTTTTTTTTTTAAGTATAGTACGAGTACAGGGGCGCCATACATTTCTTTTGAGATTTTTCAGAAAATAAATTATGTCAGACCGCCCTGAGGTCTTGGTCTAGCAGTTACTATCAGAATATAGTATTTGCATCGACAGTGATCTGATGTTTTTGGAATTATCATTTCCGCTAATTAGTGGAGTGGCGTTAGGCTTATACCTCGGAACTCGTTTATTATGAAAGGATTTTCATGAAACTTTTTTGATTGCTTTGTCAACCCTATTCTTGGCATTGGGTATTATTTGATACGTTAACATCATAAAATTGTTACCTATGACCTAAAAAAGTATTTTCCACTTTTTTATAATAACACATGGTAGAAAAAAATCTTAAAATATATAAAAAATATCATTCCGGTTATGGAACCATTGAATCGTTCGTTGTTCGCATTTTAACTTATCGTTTACCTGCGCCTACGCAACGCAAGGTAATAAAAATTCAACAGTACAATATATTTATCAAATTAATAACAAAAACGACTATCATCTAAAACGTAACTATTTTCGAATGTATAATATGGTATTTTACAAGATAGCAAATGTTATAGATACTTATTCTTTATTACGTCTCAAAAACAAGTCACAGCCTCGTTTGTTAGACTTATGTGTTTTAAAATTGTGTCTCTAAATTATATTTTTATTAATATTTATCTGTTAAAATAATACATGACATATTTTTATAGACAAATAACGCAGCAACAATAAAACAGATCTCGATAACTTAAGAAATTTTTTCCCATAATTACAGGTATCAAAATATGTCAGAAAAATATATGGTTATGTAGTGTTGAACCAAATTAATGTAAACTTTTAATAATAATAATAATAAAAAGTACATTGATTAAGAAAAACAAATGTTCTTAATTTAAAAACTGAGTGGTCTGAATAAACCTGATTCTCCGGCTCCAGCGGTCCTCTTTTATAAATAGTAACAGTTTACGTAAAACTCTCCAACAACTCATATCATAGAAGTGCCTTTAGTAAGGATAACAGGTATACCACTAACATAGAAATATAAAAATCCAGGAAACACCATAAATGTAGTGTTTGAAAACTCATTGGTAGAAAAACTTTGAACCAAAAAGTGCAAATCGATAATGAAGAAACTAATATACAACGCGAAAGTTAAAGGATAGAAGACGCGAAAGGCAAAAATAGGCTTTTCAAAATCATATTATTTACGTGATATTGAGATAATGTCAGAAGTCATAAACGCTGACGAACTAATGAGTGAAAAGAGCTATGTGTATTAAAGAAGCGAAAGACGTTTGTATGGACCGTCCTTTGTGAGGCTCGATTCTCTTTGCTCACACCGCAGTGGCTCTGAGCATAAAGGTCATAGATATTGATTAAAAATATAGTTTCATCAGTCGATTTAAAAGTTTACTGTGAAATGTTAGTATTTTTTTAAATCAGGTACTGTCGAGTGAATGTCCATTGCAGTAACTGTAAAATTACAATATTTAACTGAGATCTCCTTAGCCTCATGACAAAACGCGTGTAGAGTAATAGTTAATGGTGGTTGCGAAAATTATTTCCACTTATAAACGTGAATTTATTTGCGGATAGACGGTGAAACTATTCACCACCCGCCCATCCGCAAAAAAAATCGCAATTAAGTCTCTCACATACGGTTTCTATTCTAGTTGCCAAATATCATTATTTTACTGTTATATAAAATAATTAGGGTTAATTATTAGGGTCGGAAATCATCTGGAATTAGTCAGTATTGTGCAAGAAAAAAAAATCTGCAAGAAAAAGAATAGCAAAACAAAATAGTAAAAAAAAATATTTATATCTGTAGCAATACTTACCATATTGATACAGATATAAATATTCTTGATTGCGCAGATCTGAGTTATTTTGATAAGATCATTGAAGATCTCATAATAAAGTAAGAATATGCATTTTTTGTTATAATATCTTTAAAATATAACATAAACTGTAAACTTGGCAATGTGTCAAATATGATACGTATAGGTATTTATTAATGTTGATTTCCATTAAAAGTAATGTACCATATATGGTACGTTTAATAAATACTAAAGTATGCATTATTAATTTTTTTAGTTGCCAAATCCTCTTCTATGGATGCCCAGAAACACATTCCAAGGACAAAAACTAAAATTACGAAAATATTTAATGTCAAGTACAGGGTTAAAAAGCTTACATAAAAAGGTTTACCAATTAAAATTTACAAATCCGTATTAAAAAATGGATTAAGATTGGAAAAAGTTAATAATATGAAAAAGGTAATCTGATTGTGATTTTTTTCTAATTAAGATGGGAAAGGCGTAAATTATAGTCTATATAGCATAGTTTCCTGTAGATTTTTTAAATTCACCCAGTAGTTTCTTAAGAATTATCGTTTACAAATTGTGACATTTTGTTATCGTTACAGGTGCACAATGCCCCGTGTCATAAAATGTCTGATCTACATTGGAGTAGCGGCTTTCCTGCACCAGCTGCCGAGATTCGTGGACCGGCAATACGTGCCCCACCTGACTGTCTGGCGGGGACACCTCGAGGAAGTCTGCAGAGTACGACTACTTTATATTTATGACTAGCTATATAATTTTCATGGTCTGATCAGTAATTCCGAAGTTTAACACACATCCCCCCCGCCCCTCCCACAAAAATAAAAAACTTTACCTATGTTGTCATCATCACCAACCTATTAATATCCCAAAGTTGCTCAGGCCTTTCCTATGGATGTAAATCGCTAAAATCCAATAGACAGAACGGGTCATGATCCACCACAGGTCCAGTGGGGATCGATAACTTGCAGCCGGCACTAATGGCTTAACGTGCATTTCAAAGCATGGAAGAGCTTGATATAATACATTTTTGGTCACCCATCTTATTAACGACCCTTGCAAAATTTGCTTAACTACCGTATCGCAGACCCAACGCGCTGACCACTGCGCCTTGAAACTCCTCAAGCATCTAAACTGTACCTTTTAATAATATTAAATAGTAGTTATAGTATTAATTAATATAGATATTCCTCCGCCATTTTCTTATTCAATCTCATCAATAAATTATGTCACAAAAGGAGAGGTCGCCAAATGTATGTATGACAAGCGATGGGAGGGTTCCTTATTTACATTTCAAAATGTAATATATCTTCTACTTCTTTTAGATGTTTTTGAATTAAAATAGTTTTTTATAAATATATAGGTTCTACATATAAATTTATTTAATGCATAACTATATTTGAATGAATGAAATAGCTAGAACAACGACCGTAATTTTTACCGTTTCTGCGACATCGAAGCGGTGGCATTCTATCTCAATACCAAATAGTATTAAAATCGGTACAGTGTTTTAGGCTTAAATAAGTTACGGACAAACAAACTTAACTTTCCATTTTTAGTTTAGTAGAGATGGCACAAAAGTAATACGAGGCCATAAGTCTATCGATAATCGTTATCGCAACAACACTACTCCGTATAGAATCACACGTGAGCACAACCAGTAGTGACGTCATTAAGATTAATTGCACACCGGAAAGTTTCAGGATTAAGGGGCACCTACTAATTGACTCGTACAACTATAAACCAAAATATCAGTGTAGTGGAGTATCCGATTAATAATAAATCCACTATGAACTCGGTTTATTTTAAACGAGCTATATTCCCGTGACGTCACCGTTGTAGGTATTATGTGGCTTCCTGTAGGTGAAAAAATACAATCAGATCAATATTCAAATTCAATATCATTTATTCTTTCTAGGCTGTTATATTACTTGTTAAAGTCTAAAGCTGTGCCATTGGTTCTTATATCGTAAGATTACCCCCCCTCCTCCCCCCACCCACACACAAACAGAAAGAAACTTAACCTCATTAAAATATAAATATTAGTATTGTCTAACTCTATTTAAAACTAAACTTTATAATTTCACATCGCAGACCAAGCACGTTAATCACCGAACTATCGAGCTCCTCCAGTTGTGAGTGGTAAAACAGAATAAGGATAAAATGTGCCTGGGTAAAATGTAGAAACATATTCGAACGTATTTTTGCTTCAATTTAACAAGAAATTACTTCGATAATGGGCATTAAATTTGAGGAGTGGGGGCGCGCTACGTCACAGCTATGTATAAAATGTACAAAGTCTATTCATCACGCGATATTTCAACGCAATGTATCGTCGCGATTTATTGATTACGCAATAAATAACAAAATACGTGTTTTATATTCTCCAATGATCAGATGGACAGATAATTAAAAAAAATCTTAATGAAAAATGCTTCAAAATTTATCAAATATAATAATAAGAACAAATTTTCATCTTTATCGATAGTTTAAATATTTGTAGAAAGATTTCTTTTGGCTGTATGTGTGGATTACCTGAACATTGATGACAACCCTCTGTAGTAACGAAAAAGAAATAAGTTCTTGAAAAAAGTGTCAGTCCTGTTAGGTTACGGGTGCTCAATGGTAGAGCAGTCGCCCGGATTGCGAAAGATGGGTGGGTTGGCATGGGTGGCATGGGTTCGAGTATCATCTCAGAGTGCCAGAGACAAAGTGGACTTTCAAGGATTCTTAATTCACAAATATTTTTCAGTATAGCAATGTGAATTCAAAATTAATCAAATATAATAAAATAAAATTGACACCAATCATCGACAACACAATCTCATATTCACATCACTAAATGATTAATTAGAATTATTAATTCACATTCTGATTCCGGGTCTCTCTAACGATTTCTATGTGTGTCGCTCGAGCGGGCGGTAGTAGAACTCCATAGATTTAGGATAATTTTGCGGACCAAAGACAAATGTTTCATCTACATAAATCTACACGTTGACCGTAGTAAAAGCTTTGAATGTAATTTATTAGAATATACAGACTGTTCGAATTAAAGTCAACCACAAACCATAGAAGGACTAGAAAGGATTCATTATTTTATTATGGATTAAATAAATTAATTAAATATCTAAGAAGCTCAGTGACGTAGTTGATAGGCGCCACGGCCCGCGATAGTTGTTGTTAAGCATCTTTGCAAGGGTCGATAACGGATAGGTGACCAAAAATATTTTATCTCGAGCTACTCCGTGCTTTGGAAGACACGGTAAGCTAATGGTCTCGGCTGCATTTGCAGTTGTTCATACCCTCCAATCCGCATTAAGCCAGCGTTGAGGGTCATGGCCCATCCTTCCTAACCATCGATAAGTCTATCTATCGATAAGTAAGGCAGTGGGGATGTAAAATGGCTGATTTTGAGGGTTTGCAAAAACACAAGTGTAAACAAACAGGTTCTAATACAAGTGACCTTGAATTTTCCGATTGGAAATTTTAAGTTAAGTAACTTCCCATGATCTTCTACCGCTTCCGCTTAACTAAATGAATTTCTTTAAGCTGTAATGGACTTTAATGATATTGATGGATTAGTTGAAGCCATTGCATAAAATAGGTAGTTGAATTTTGCATTCACGATGCTATTTTGGAAAATATTCCAAGTCCCATCGAGTCCCATCGCATAGTAAAATTAAAAAAATATATAATTATTATTAATCGCTATTTTCGAAAACGCTCGTTTGCAAAGAAATCGTTTCTCGAGCATTATAACAAAAACGTGGACTTCGTATGCGGTCTCTTTGAGATCCAAAATTCAAAATTCAGGGCGTCTCATCTCAAAAGAATCTCAACTTCTTACATTTTTTCATCGTACTACCTACCTTGAGTCCAGTATTTTAAGTGCAATGTCTTCGTCACAAATCAATGGAGATATATTTATTATTTTGTGATCTAGTAAAGGGTTGTAGTTGAAGAACTATTGAGTTTCCCTATTTATTCTAACATTAGCAGAATTCCCCTACAGGTAAATATATTTAAGGACAAATTTTACGCGAAACCCCAACTGTGACATTAATTGCAAATTCAGTAGTTTAATAACGGATATCTATAGTCTGTTTGATTACCCAGAAACCATAAACCGTTCGAAAGTGCCGTGAAATTACGTCTTAATTCCCGTTAACGTTTCCTATACTATCCGATCCGATCGTGTCCCGCATAGAGATGTTACGATCGTTAAAAATTAAATCCTTGTATCCGAATACCTAATTTGGATGAGATAAGTATATAAACCTGAACTTTGTTGACGACGAACTTAAAAAAATTAAAATAGTTAAAATGACGGTTACTTGTTACATAATGTATGTATGTATGTACGAGAATTCACTTGTCGTGCGGTCAATGTCCGGGGGGTTTTCATGTTAATAACAAAATTTGTGCAGCCTATCAGTGTTACCAAGATTTATCATACTAGTCTTGGTAAGAAGAAAGAAGCGAAGCAATCGAGAATTGATAGTTTCTTTAAGCCAAAAGTTTAATTTATTATTTCTCATTGCATATTTTGATTATTAAAGTTATTAAAATACCAAAAATAACTAGCAATTTCATAAGTACATTTTTAATTATTTAATTTTGATAATAAAGTATCTATATCCTTTGTTATAAATGTAGTTTTTTGTTTATTTTGAGTCCGTGTGGAACCTAACCCTTGAGTTTTACATGTAAACATATGAAAAAAATATGTCTCGATTTACGTGGTTTTGCTTTACGTCGCGTATTTCGAGAACCTAACATGCCGTAAGTACGAGAAGTGCCTGTATCTTATCAGTACATACTAGTAGTACTCATAGTAATAAAACATATAAATTATTTTTATATGTTATATTTTCGCTATATAAATAAATGCAATATTAATACATATTAAGAATTAAGAAATAATTTACATTAAATGTATTACCGGTTATTCTTATTATTTTTCTTACCACTTTCATTTAGATTTTCGAATATGCAAAGAATTTTAATAATGTAAAACCCTTTTCTCCGAAAACGATATTTCGTATAATTTCAAAATGTTTTCCAGATTAGGTACACGTTAGAGACACTATCAGCTACGAGCACCGTTACATTTTGTTTTTTCATGAAAATTGGTTCAGCTCAGTTCAGAAATGGTTCAAATGGTTCAGTTCAGAAAATTGGGTTGGATGGTCTTGTAAAACATTACGATGCGTTAAGCTAACATTGTTTTTTTTTAATTAAATACTAAAGTATTAAATACTAAACATTCCTTTAATCGGTATTATGAAAGTGAATTCATACCTTACAAAAGAGAAGAGAAGATTTACATCGCCAGCTGTTCTTGACCTATCCTATAGCAAGTCAGCATAAGATTATTTTCTCTTATGCTGACTTGCTAGCACTGTCAACTCTGTGCCGAAAGTTTATGGTGAGGAGGGGTTATAAAAACGTTACAGCTGATTATAAGGGGAGGGAGGGTCTAAAATCTTCGAAAATTGCGTTACGTAATTCTTGAACAGTCCCTTATAACATTTTGAAAATATGTGAAAACTGAGAAAGTAACAGAGTAGACCCTCGGATATCCAAATTATATCGATACGATTATCCGGCACATCACTAGTCCGTATTACCGGCAGTATGTTAATTAGAATTAGATCCCTAGTATTATCTGTGCTCTCCATCTATTGAGTTTGGGCGGGCGTTGCAAGCGACCATGTCATTGCAAATTTACAACGTAATATTCTGATCGCTTTGTATAATGACTGGTTCAATTAGAAACCACTGACAAGCGTTTAATTAACCGGTTTCCAGTTACGGGTTCGTGTATAGAAATACCGGTAGCGGTGACCGCCGTCCGTGGAGAGGAAAAGTCATACTTTTTTAGGGTTCCATACCCAAAGGGTAAAACGGGAACCCTATTGCTAAGACTTCGCTGTTATTTTGTCACCAGACTATAACTTCTCATGAACCGTGAAAGTTAGAAAGATTAAATTTTCACAGATTATATATTTCTGTTGCCGCTTCAACAACAAATACTGAAATTAAAGTGAAACTATAATGGTTCAGTATTTTTACTACAGAACACCAATAAAATAAATATTTAAGAAGGCTCTTATACGACAAACGCAATTTTTTGAACGGAACCCTTCGTGCGCGTGTTGACTCGCACTTCTGTTTTTTTTTTATTTAATAACCAGTTGTGATCAATGTCATACTTCAATATACTAATATAAGATTACTCAATAAACTTACATTTTTGGTTGGTTTAATTAGTATAATAGCTTTAACGAAATAGTAGCCTATCTTTATTTTAAACTAGTTGATCCGGAAAGTTACGCTTTACGCATATGGGAAGGCAGGCAAAAATGGAAAGAGTAGACATAATGGAAACTTCTTATGTCATCTATTGCGGATACTGATGAGTTTACAAATGACATTTAATCCGATCCGCATAAGCTAATAAAGGTCTCAAGCTTCTCAAGCTCTGTGATTATTTGATAGGGAGATAATTACAAAAACACGAAATTACAAAGTTTAATTGCTTAAAAAATCTAAATAAAATTACATTATTTTTTAAAATAGACAGAGTCATTGTAGGTAAAAACCCTGCGGGTCAAGGTCCAGATCAAGATCGTACAGGAGCGTAAAAAAGTTATCTAAAATCATAATTTCATTAATTTCTTCTTATAAGTAGACTTTTTAATTATGAAGAAAATTATTAAATTTAAAATCACATTATAGCGAGATCTTTACAGAAAGCTTTAACAATAATTTTTATTTATTTAAAACTTTACTGACAAAAGAAAGTAAAAATAAAGACATTGTAAGGAACAAAATATATATCAAACTAATTACATTTGTGCAATAGGCGGCCTTATCGCTGAACAGCGATTTCTTAAATGCGAATCTTTAATGCTTGCGACTAATTAATTGGAAATATTTAAATAAACTATCATATAACCCTATTTGTCATCGGCGAACGCATTTATTTTCTTTCATTTTCGTTTTCTTTATTTACGACTAGCGTTTAGCGGACATTAGACATATATCCTAGTTCATCCCTAAGGGCGTGCAAATTGCTTGTAAATAACGAATTATGTTATCGTAAACAACTTAATGATAGTGTTAAGACATAAATATATTAAATTTAATCACAAATGATGAGAGTTTATTTAGGACGATGCGACGGTCGTATGGGGCTGTAATTAGTGATGTACCTTTACAGTTTTACTATTCAAATACTAATAAAGAAAATAAACGAGTCAAAATACTCGTAATCGATACTCAAAAGTCAATCTAAATGATTGACATATTGATTGGTAAACCATAGTGTTATACCTACAGATATATTTACCTATTACAACTATCAATTATAGTATATACGTCTGCACGTTAGACTACCACAATTTGACTAATTTCCACAAACGATTTTGTATTTTTCTCTCAATGTTATATAACCTGACATGCTGCTGTACATACCTGTCGATCACACCAACAGTTAAGAACTATAGCATAAAATCATCGTAATTGAATTGATACTCAGTATATACCATAATGACCATACCACAATCATATTATTTTAGTATAGAAAGGTAACGGAATGTGAAATGTTGAAATTCCTTCTTTAATTATTCCTTATAGAAGTAAAACTTGTCCATGAAATCAGCGATCAGTTTACGGATTCAGTTGACTTATTTCAAAGTATATCGAAGCTTCTACAGAAAAATTATTTAGAAAATTAGTTCAGGGATATTACATTTTAAGGATAATCTTCCATGTTTGTTGTCCATATTTTCAGAAATATGCAATCTTCTCCTCAATTAACACAAAGTAATCTGAGTGTCCAAATACAAAAATTAAAAATAGATACCGATTTATATAATCTAGTCAGTAATCGAATCAATATGACACGTCACATCACTATCGGAATACTCGACACTTCAACTTATCTAACTAATGTATTAACTCGTGGAAACACCTGGCTTATCCCATTTGAGGCAGGCCATTAGTTTTAAAGGAAAATTTATATGTCAGTTTGTTATTATTAAACCTAAATTGTTTATACTGCCTAATGAAAGTTTTAAACATTATTATGAAAAATGTGTCATTCTTCGTAAGTTATATTTGCCCATATAGTTTGTTTGGTAATAAACATAAAATCCGGAATATTGACGATAGATTATCATATGTGTAAGGCGGAGTTTTGTCTTTGTTTCTGAAAAACCAACCCAAGGAGATATTGCCCTCCATCTAGACAGGCTGTTATTAAATGTGAAAAACTTTCCATCCTACCACAGATACTCATAAACTATTATATTATGCTTTTCCTACACTCGTGGAGTCTACATACCTATTTTGTATAGCTCCATATACTTTAGAGGCCACACAACCGCCTGTGACAAAGTATGAGCCAAATTAAATTACTTTAAGGATCCCTCTACCCCTATATCGAACTTTACGAGATTACAGAACTCTTTTAAGGAATAGTGCACACCAAAAATCAATATTTTCAACTGATTTTGTGCAAAGAAATAACGTTAACATAAGCTGTAATTAATAATTAAAAATGTAAGACTATTGACAAAGTCGAAACATAAATTTAAAAATTCATATCTCGATAGTAATATATAGAGAGATTATCTCTGAAATATATCACTTTATCTTGTTTTATTAGTGTCTTTTCTTATCAGCCATTATATAAATGATTTTTACAATAAATGTAATAGTTTGTGAGTAATTAATTAAAACTAGTATAAGATATTTCACCATTCACGTTAGGAATAGTTTTTTGTGTTTACACGCAGCCTTAAGGCCCTCATATATGGAAGTTTACAACGCCCACTCACACGTACCACAAGCCTCAGTTAATAACACTATCGACGATGCTTTGGTGTAGGGTTGTTACATTGTCGATACTTTGGCTATCGATAGGACTATCTTATAATCTTTTAATAAATTCTATCGAAATCACAGAAAATTTGGTAAATTCGATATTATTTATTTAAAATATAACTGTATGAACAATGTTCTTAATGAAAAATGCTTAAAAATCCACTTTCGCCCTGGCACTCTAAGATGGGACTCGAACCTATGACCTTCCGCAATCCATTTTCAATTATGTAAACAATTAAGATGCATGAGCGTAGGATGGAGAGAGACAGAATAATCAGGTACTCATCCCATTTTTTTTGGACAAATAACTATGATCAGTGTATCATTCAGCACAACATGCTTTGTCCGTCTGTGTCTAAATCGCTGACCATGACCTGAAAATTGGAGGGAAAATTCTTTGACATAGGCACCCGATAAGAAACGATCTTCCGAAATTTTAGAGATAAATATAGCTTACAGTAAAATACTATAACTAGGGCTGGCGGAGAGCTAGTGATATTATTTCTTAAATTGCATGTGATAACAAAGTAATGTTAAGTTAATCAATATTCTCTGGAGTCTTCGATACGGTTATTAAGCGACTTTCGCAATGGCCGGCCATAGGATGAGTGACCAAAAAATTTAACAATCCTTAGCTCCTCAGTGCTTCGCAAGACACGTTATGCCGTTAGCCCTGGCTGCATCTGTAGTTGTTAATACACACTAAACGCTGCACCAGCATGGTGATAATGATAATGAATCATATTAAAATTAGATTTATTTTATTATAATTTAGTTTAGTGAATGGCAAAAAATAATTGAAGTCATTATATAATTCTTTCCAGGTGGAGTTAGCACCATGGGTCAGCAGTCTCTCCATGGACGCGTACTTCATCTCCTACTTCACATTCCGAGTCCTATTCGTCCACCTCATACCGTGCACATCCCTAGTCGTTCTTAACGTCCTTCTGTTTAAAGCAATGAGGACAGCCCAACTGAACCGTCAGAAACTATTCAAGGAAAACAGGAAATCTGAATGCAAGAAACTCCGCGATTCCAACTGCACAACCCTGATGCTCATCGTGGTAGTAACTGTCTTCCTGATGGTAGAAATACCTGTTGCCGTCGTCACCATACTCCACATTATATCTAGTAGTATAGTAGAAATTTTAGATTACAATATCGCTAATATACTTGTTTTAGTGACAAATTTCTTCATCATAGTCTCGTATCCCATCAACTTCGCGATTTACTGCGGCATGTCTAGGCAATTTAGGGAAACCTTCAAGGAATTGTTTATCAGAGGAGCTGTTACAAGTAGAAAAAATGGCGGCTCTAGTCGATATTCCCTAGTAAACGGTCCTAGAACGTGCACAAACGAAACAGTGCTTTAATTGTATAACATTACTTATTTTTTTTGTATATAATCTCCTGATTGTATTTGACTTTTGGATATTTATTGTTTTGTCTATTTATATTGTGTAGTAGACATATCAAAATTTATATTCGAAATATGAAATGCAAAAAAATATGATCGTATTACTTGGCTCAGAATAGCTTCTGTCGAATATTAAAAAAATGTACATTGTTAAATTAATATTAAAACTTGTACTTAGATGTAGTTTTTGCTGTTGTGTTAATTAGTAATAGAATTACACAGAGTGTTCTAAAAATGTTGTATATTATATGAATACAATTAATATTTTAAAATTGAATTATAACATTTTCGGAACAATCTGTATATTCGGTACTTTTTCATAGCTGTGGGATAACCTGATCGAATTGTTGTATAAATAAATATAAAAATTTAGTTTTAATAAATGTGTAATTTATTTAATGATTAGCTGATCTTGCAGCCAAATGGTGAGCCCCCATTTGGAAAAAGTATCATTAAATAAATGTATTTTAATGTAAATAAAACTATTTAATGTAAAATTTAATTAAATAAGATATTGTCTAAATGTTACACACTCTTTGTGTCTTAGATATGAATGTAATTTACAATTTTTTTCATGTAAATATACATTAATTGTAATAAGTATTTGTAGAATTATTTTGTAATAGTAATAAATGAAATGTAATTAAATTTATATTACAAACGATAAAAGTACGAATGTATAATTTTGTTGTTGTATTAAAATGAATAATTATTATTTACGAGGCTTTCATTGGTTGATTATGTAGGAACAAAAATTTATAGATGTAGCATATACATATAACAATTTTGTTTATTATGTCAGTTGACTACGGACCATGGCGAATCAAACTAACATAATTAGGGTGCATTATTAATAAAAAAAACTTGTAAAATGATCATTGTTTTTATTTATTACCTGCTTCATTTTTTTTTTACATTCAAACTTCAGACAGACAGAAAATAAAGTTTTTCGATTGAGAATTCATACAATCAAGCAAAAATTCTTCACCTGAATATAAAAGAGATTTTTTGACACTGCTTTTTAACCACGCGACTTCAAATAAAGAGACTTGAATAATTTTTTTATCTTTGAAGTCTGTTTTAGATATTAAAAAAAAGTTTTAATTGTTTTTACTATAAATACATTTGAAAAAAATTGTGATATAGATATTTGGATTAAGACAGTAAGCCCAAGGTTCTAAGTTGCATAGTGAACCGCTTTTTGAACCAAAACGTTGCCATATTAGTGTTGCCAATGATTTGAACGCCCCCTGTGTCGTGAATAGGGTACTAATGACCAATTAGCTTGCGTTACGGCGTACGAATATCATTACCATAGTAAGCTAATGAGATTCTGGCTCGCTTCACGAACACAACTGCTTTACACCTTATGCATCGTGGATAAGCGCCGCGGTACGCGATCATTGTTGTTAAGCAACTTTCGCAAGGATCAGTCACGGGATGGGTGACCAAAATATTATCTCGAGCTACTCCGTGCTTCGATACACGTTAAGCCGTTGGTCCCGGCTGTGTTTGCAGTCGTTAATACCCTCCAATCCACATTTGGCCAGCGTGGAAGTTTTTACCCGTTCTCCTTAACTATCCCTAAACAAGGCCTGAGCCCCTGCGGTGGAGGTGCAGGGAACGGCTGGGCTGATGTGTGCTGATTTTGGTTTTGTAATGTTTGTCGTAGTCCCAGGAAAGTTTAAACAGTGAGAGGTGGTACGAAGTACACCAGGTCATCTAGTCATCCAATATTTGTTATTTTTTTAATTTGACATATAAATTACAATCTGTTTAAATAAAAATGGATCTCAGGAAGTTGACCCGGTATTTTAAGAATATAACCTAGTTTTGGCTTTTTAAGAGTTACGATGAACTGAACTCTGACACACTACAGATGTTAACGCTATTAGTTTTGCATTAATATATCATTTTAGGTTCACGGTAAAGCATTAGTTAGTTAATTGCCTATTTAGTTAAAACGCATTGAAGTGCCAAATACGCAAAAAAATACCAACAGTCTCTGACCCCAGCAATACACGGAAACAATACAAATGTCTAAGGATAGCGAATAATATCATTTACTTTACAATGGTGACGGCTGGGTTAAAAAAAAAGAAATTCTATTTAGCCCGACAGCCAGATAATAGAAAAATATAGAATTTTCTTTAATTCATCAAAAAATAGCTTAGATAACAGACGTTAAAGCTGAGGAGTGGGGGCTCGCTATGTCACAGTTTTGTAGAAAATGTACCAAGACGTCATGTGACATTTTAAGTCAATATATCGAAGTAATTTAATAATTAGGAAAAATAGAAAAAATACGTGTTTAATATTATTCTGCAATCTACCTGAAGGAGAAATAAACAAAAATTAGTCGTCATCCCAATACTAACTAAAAAAGTCGGAGCCCGACCAAGAAATTGAAAATAAAAACATGTTTTATTTTTCTACATATTCCCCCCTTGTCTCCTTCTTCTTTCTTCTTTTTTTAAATTAATGGCTTATCTGCGCATTTCGCACAATTCTGCCAATGTCAAGTAAATAAATAAATTTTTACATGTAAAATAAAAATGAAATGAATGAAAGATGGCGATGATTTTCGATTTGCCACCCCCTTGTCTCAATACAGTGGCACTTGACATACGATTAAATAAAGAATCGAGCTGTCGTACTTTAATGATAACAGTAGTTTATGCAACTGTCATATAAGAAGGCGTATTAAAACACGAGAATCTGTCTATGATAATAGGTTAACTCTAATATTTTAATACGCGCAGGAAATTAAGTACGCATGCGTACTCCATTTTTTTCACAGTTCTAACTGTGCATGCGTGCGCCTTTTTTTCATATTCAGCTTAAAACTATAGACTAGTTTAATTAATAAAAAGGATAGCGGTACTATACTGAGTTTTATGAGGCGGATATATGACATCGTTTAAAAAGCTGATGCAACAAAGTTGAAGTAGTACATATCTGTTGCATAAATAATATTCTCTGGTGTGATTTTAACAATATTATTTGAAAGTTTCGAAATATTCTGAAAGTTCATTCATAGATAAATAGAGTAGGCCCTTTGTAACGCCATATACGTCGAGTTCGAAGTCGCAAAATAACAAGGCTAGATATCTAAATGTCTAAGAAAATATTTTATAACAATATTTACCCGATGTATATATTCAATACGCATACCTTAAACGGAGCTTAAGGTATGCGTATTAAATATGTATCTTTGATACTAATTTAAACTCGAACGCGGATTATATTAAAAAAATACATATATCATAAACATACCATCATCACACCATCACCAGCCCTTTTACGTCCTCACTGCAGAGGCTCATGCCTTCCTTATGGATGGTTAAGGAGGATGGGCCATGACCCTTAACGCTGGCCCAATGCGGATTGGAGGGTATTAACGACTGCAAATGCAGCCGGGACCAACGGCTTAACGTGCCTTCCGAAGCACGGAGTAGCTCGAGATAATAATTTTTATGGTCACCCATCCCGTAACCGACCCTTGCGAAAGTTGCTTAACGACTACGATCGCGGGCCGCGGCGCTTATCCACTACGCCACCGAGCTACTCTATTATTATAAACATACAGATGGTACTTAATAATCATTCCACAGCAAAAACATTGCTCAAAATTCACGAAGACATTGAATTAGTCAATACGATTGTGTTAACAGGCAATTGTATCAATAAAACTAGAAATTTGTATTGTCAACAACTAAATTACCAAATCAAATTCGATCGAAGAACAGCCGCAAACAGTTGGCCATGTTTACGTTCGCTAGGGCTGTGAAACCTATTATTTATAATTGTATATTGAGTCTGTGACTTTCTATGGCACTTGGCGGTCTGAACTGTTTCTCTTTTCTCTATATGGTCTGTGTTATTGTAAGTTGTAATGAGTATTTAAAAAGAAATAGTTTCCGAAATCAAACTAGATGTCGCTACGGTACGTTCTTGATTTCGCCATGACAACCCTTCCAGTTTTCTTTTATGTTTAAAATTAAATTAGTTTTCAGAACTCAATAAACAACTCTTATTTTATTTGTACTTTTTCGTATTTGTATTGATATCTAAGTTTCGAAATTTTCAAATTTCAGTTTTTTAATATGTTACTTAAATAAACGGAAATGACTGCTTTGGTCCATTCGTTTCTGCAAAAATCAACTTTTGCTAGAGTCGCCATCTAGTGGAGATGCTTTTTTAGTGGTTTTGTTTTTTTTAAATACTTTCTCACTTGTAAGGTTGTGAGATCTTCAAGTTATTAAATACATATAACAGTATTAAGTGTGATTACTTAAGAAATCTGTACTTTTTACCGAAATTAGTACGAGGGTCAAACTGAAAGTTCTTAGAACTGGCCACTTATAAACAATATAATAAAAAAATAATTCTAAAATTTGAAAATATAACTCTTTGCCAATATTACTGAGTATATATTTCATTCATTTGTCATTTGTTTTACGATTTGGCGGCAAATTGAAAATTGTCTGTGTCACGTCATCATGAATTTAACACGAGAAAATTTTCGTGCAATGATTTTTTATGACTTTCGATGTCATTTAAGTCAACAAGAAAGTTATGATAGACTACGATTGGCCTTTCACGATGAAGCCCCATCTCGTGCGACTGTTTACAACTGGTTTAATGAGTTTAAACGTGGTCGCACTAATCTCACTGATGATTTACGTGAGGGACGGCCTTCTACGGCGACGACTGAAGATAACATCTGTGTTGTGCGGCGTATGATAGAGACTGACAAAAGAGTGACCTATCAACAGATTCGGACAAGCTTAGGCATCGGTATGAGTCAAGTGCACAAAATCCTCCACGAACATTTAGCGGTCAGGAAGCTTTGCGCCCGGTGGATACCTCATAATTTGACTGAGGCTCAAAAACTCCATCGTGTGGATTGGTGTCGTATAATGATTGAAAGATTTAACGGAGGTGACTCAAATGCTGTGTTCGACATACTAACAGGTGACGAAAGCTGGATTTACTGTTATGATCCTAAAACCAAAAGACAATCTGCTCAGTGGGTGTTTCCTTTCGAGGAGTTGCCAACTAAAGTGAAGAGAGATCGAAGTGCGGGAAAAAAAATGGTGGCCTCGTTCTTTGGAAGGATAGGTCATTTTGCAACAATTGTGTTAGAGGATCAAAAAACAGTTTCTGCAGAATGGTACACTACCAATTGTTTGCCACTTGTCTTGGAAAAAGTTCGAGAGAAACGACCTCGCAGTAGGATCCTCCTTCACCACGACAACGCCTCGTCGCACACCGCCAAGCGAACGATCGACTATTTGGCGACATCAAACGTTGAATTACTGGGTCACCCGCCGTATAGCCCCGACCTCGCGCCTTGTGATTTTTATTTATTTCCAAAAATTAAAGAAAAACTTAAAGGAAAGCGGTTTATGAATGCTGAAGAAGCGGTGGCTGCGTATCGCGATGCCATTGAAGAGACCCCTAAGGACGAGTGGGCAAAGTGCTTTTCCCAGTGGTTCCATCGCATGCAGCGGTGTATTGACGTGAATGGACAATATTTTGAAAAGATATAATAAAACTAATAACTGGCTAATGTAATCAGTTTTTGATTTTCTAAGAACTTTCAGTTTGACCCTCGTATAACTCAAATATACTCGTAACTCGCGATCAAGAAGTTGCTGTTTTACCAACTTTTCTACGATATCGTCCCACCTGTAGGTCTTGAACGTATATTGAGTGGACCTTAATGGCCGATTCGTTACTGTATAAGACATTTATTATGTCCTTTTTCTCTCTAAGATATATACTTTCCAATCTGTCAAAGATTAGAAAGTTTTATTAGATAGAGACTAATCAACTTTGGAAACCAATGATGTAGAGCACGAA